TTTAAACATCGACTTTAGTTTCGGTTCAAAATTGCCATTGCGTTCACATCTTTATGTTATATTCTTTGGGCTCTGTCACACGGTCAGTATTTATTGACGTGATCCAAGTAACGCGATATTTATTGACGGTGTAGTATGCAGTATTGATGGATCGTGATCCATATCGCAAAATTTCTCAAAATTTTGAAGTCTGGATCGCGGATCGCAATACCGTCAATAAATATTGAACGTGTAGCACTTTCAAAACGCGATCCATACATTTCTTCAGTACATCTATTACTCTCATAATGTAAACATCGGCTCTGCCTTCACTCTGGGGGCTTCAGATCTTTCAAAACAAATTGAACAAATCTTAAAATAATTGTGGAATGCATTATCTGTAAATTATACGTACAAAATAAAAATATTTTCTTGCGTCATAATAAGCGTTCAGCAAAAAAAAATATGCAAATACTGACGCGACAAATATTGAACATGTAGCATTCGTGCGCGATCCATCAATCTGTCAATATGTATCGCGATCCAAATATCGTGATAATTACTGACCGTGGGACAGAGCCCTTTGGGTAAGCGTATTACGGGCGATGGCAGCCATGTACTTAATAAAAGCAATTGGCAACGTTGAACATAGGCGATTTCCATGACGTAGTTACAGTATTTCAATACGACTTAAGGTGAGTGTAAGTATTATCTGCGCGTAAACAGCAAATCTATTATGACATTGGAAGGAAATCTATTTAAATTGAAAAAACCAGCCATTGAAATGTTAACAATGTAGCAGTTTAGATGGACACTAGGTGTTTCTTGAAATTTTAACAAGCATTAAGTCAGTTCCAGGTATTTCAGGATTTGCAGGTTTTACAAGTAAAGCGGTTTTCGCCATTAATAAACCTTATGGAAGGTGGCGTACGTTAACAGCTTCCTGTAAAAACCTGCAAATCATGAAGTACCTGTAACATACTTATTAAAAAAGAGAAACATCGGAAAATATCGATGTATCGATAGTTTTAGGGCGATTTTTTTCGGCATCGATGTTAGTGTTTACGATACATCGAAATATCGATGTATCGATGTTGGCTCTGAAAATTTGCATCCCTACGTGCGCCTTGATGTTGTCACACAAAGCGGAGGGACCTACAGTTTTACGCCGCCTCGGAATGGCGATTGTATTTTTATGAGGAGCTGTTTTTAATGACACTCGGAGATTTGCCATTGCCTGCCGAGGGACGACCGCTGTTAAGAAAAAACCTTTTTTCTATATTTTTTTACGACGACAAAATAAAAAACCAAAACTGGTCAAAATGTAACTTTAACTTAATCAGCTGACAGCAAAGGTATATGGATAATGGACGAGTCCGCACATCCGATCAGAAAAAGGACAAAAAAAGTGGATGAAGTGCGAATTTCTGTCCGTTTACCGATAACTGTAGTCGTTTTCTATTCGTTTCCGGATACGGAAAATTGTATTACACTGCACTATCGGCAAAATTTTTACATTTCATTACTGGCTGGGAACTCTTGAAAGAAATATGTGTTGAGTCAAATCGGGTTTTTCTTAATGCGGTTCTTGCGTAGGTATACTAAAAAATATGATGAAAAGAATCATTTCGGAAAACTTTGTTTGCGTGATCTTTTAAATCACTCTGCATGAAAAAAGATTAAAACAAATTGAAAAAAAATATACCTACATTGAGTGCCAGCGAAAATCGTACAGTAATTATTTCCATTTTTTGAAAATATTTTGTTTAATTTAATTTTTAATCAAATATAGTTCACACTACAACAAAATCCATACAACTTGAAGTTGTAACTTTGTAACAACAAAAAACAATCTTCCAATTTTCAACAAAATTTTACACCTTTTATTCAACATTTTTATTGGGTATGCAATTTAATAGCCCGTTTACTTTTAGTATAATAAAGTGCAAGTTTGAAGTGGCTACAAAATACCGTCGATTTT